ATAGTAAGCATGAAGTACATACATGTACTTCCCAATCAGAAGTCCTGATTAAACTGTAGCTTAACTGAATTATATATATGTGAGAAAAGAAAATGTTGAAGGGGCTGTTTTTTTTTAATAAACAAACAATCGTTTTTTAGTAAATATGGAGCTACCTTGATTCGACAGTTTATAAAAAAAATATTTAAAGGTTGTGTTTTTGGATTTAGGCTTCCTTGTCTATCAATATCAATTTGTTAGATAATACGACAACAGACATTAGCAAAATCAACAAGAGGCCCATGGGCCACATCGCTCACCCGAGTAGCTTTGAGCATGCTGTTCTTTTCCAGATTTTCCCCTAGTAATACGTATTGTGACCCCACCCAACCCCACAGGTCATTATTTGGACAATTTAAATCTACATTACCCCCAGGATGTTTTCGTAAGTTTCAGCTTTTCTGGCCCATCGATTCTTGAGAAGAAGATTTTTCCTGTTTATTTCTATGTAAAACTTCCCTATTGTGGCCCCGCTCAACCCACGGGGTCATGATTTGTACAATATAGACCCGTAGATGCTTCCACATAAGTTTCAGCTTTCCTGGCCCATTGGTTCTTGAGAAGAAGATTTTTAAAGATTTTTCCTATATATTTTAATGTAAAATTTGATTCCATATTGTTGCCCCGCCCTACGCACAGGGGTAATGATTTGAACAATTTAGAATCTACACTACCCTGGGATGCTTCCACATAAGCTTTCCCGATCCAGTGCTTCTTGAGAAGAAGATTTTTAAAGATTTTTTCTACATACAGTATTTTTATGTAAAATTTTGTATTCCTATTTTGGCCCCGCTCTACGCCCAGGGGCCATGATTTTTACAATTTAGAATAAACACTACCCCATGAAGCTTCAGCTTTTCTGGTTCAGTAGTTCTTGAAAAGAAGATTTTTAATGACCCCACCCTATTTTTGTCTTTTCTGGATTATCTCCCCTTTGAAAGAACTTGGCCCTTCATTTTAACAATATAAAATCCCCTTTTCCCAAGGATGCTTTTTACCAAGTTTGGTTACAATTGGCCCATTTGTTATTGAGAAGAAGTTGAAAATGTGAAAAGTTTACAGACGGACGGACAGCTGGACGGACGACGGACAAAATGTGATCAGAAAAGCTCACTTGAGCCTTCGGCTCAGGTGAGCTAAAGACCAATATAAAAATCATGCATGTTGATACTATGTTAGAAGGAGGGGTACAAACAAATAGACAGACAAAATGTGAACTTTGTGTAACTGTACAAATACAGATGCTCTTCTGATCCTCTATACCACTAGAGAGAAACTGACAAAATTAAATGAGACTCACATGTAGAGAATCACGTGGGGAAGGCACGTGTTCGTACTCTACTTCCATCCTGGATACCTTGAGTCCATGTATGGAACAGACGAGGACCTAGAATTATATTTTAATAAAAAGGATTTTTGATTAAAGATAAGGATGAAAACTAAATAGCTGGGATCATAAAAATACTGATTTAGTTAAATAGATTTTTGAGAAAAACCATTGATATTATCAAACATCTGTTTATATTTATGTTTATTTTATTCTCGTTTTTAACGATACAAATATAGAGAATGTTTTGTTTTTTTTAGTTTTATCGGAATATTGTTAGCTGCACAGAAATGCACCAATGCATATTTATCATGTAGCGCGAACGCTCTTTATGAAACATGTGCATACATGAAAAGTGCAAATCACGCATACTTTTCATGTTTTTTTTTTAATTCGTTTTTTTTTTCTTTCAGTTTCCTTAGATTAAAGGAAAAAAGAACAAGACAGAACTAATATTAATAATGCTTGTCTTTGAAGTACATATTTATAGAAAATTAATAAAACCATGCTAATTTAGAACTAAAAAAGAATACCAATGCCCCCGACCATATTGGAGCTCCAGAAGTAAGAGGAAATTCCATGTCACCCCTGTTAGTGAGTATCACAATACCCACCGGAATGTTGCAAAAAGAAACTAGGATCGAAGCAATGCAGAGTATGCGCAACCTTGTCAGTGCCCTTGTTCTTTTCTGTACAGCTTCAACTGTTCGAAAGAAAACTTCAATTAACTCAATCAAAACAAACATATATCTAAACAAGCAATTTTTTTAAGGTCATTCCTTATAATTTAAATTTTAAAAAAACAACTTTGGATGTAAAATTGTGTTGCTTTTTATGAGTTCAAATTTACCGTGCAATAATACAACCGTAGTAACGGAAGTGATTTGAAGCGAGGGGAGGTAATAACTGATACATAGATCATACATTTATTAAATTGTTGATTATCTCACCCTGGTTTGGGGTGCATATACTTTCAGTACTTATTCAACTGAAAGTTTTTTGTTTAACTGTAAACCTTGTCAGTCCCCAATGTCCAATATGGAATGTTTATTAATAAATTGTTCTGTATTTTCTTTTGTTATATATAAATCTGGAATTTTCCATGGATTCCGAGGACTGGAAATGAGAGGATTGCATGGATAAGATGATTAAGTTGGTCGTCAATGGGTTGTGTACCCATACCAAACCAGATTATACAAAATAATTTGCAAATCAACCATTTAGAGGCGAGAATACAACCAAAATTAGATTATTCATGAATAACATAAACCATTGGAAGACTCAATTAACAACAGAACACGCTCTGGTGTAACTTATTTTTAAAATAATTCTGCCTTAAAGTCTCACATGCTAGCGCTCTTGTTCAGGATTGCAACAAGTTGTCAACAATCAAATGAAAATAAATGTTTTTAAAAAAGATAAATACTAAGCAGAATTTTCTTATGGTCCTCAACAGCTATCAGTGTTTGTCCAGTTAACCAAAGAGTAAATTTCAGAATATGTTTGATGCTATTTGTAGTTGAAATCATGTTTATCAACAAATTGCAAACATTTTGGGCATTTTACATTCAATTCACATATTACAAGTTTTCATCACTCATCATACATTAAAGAAAATATAGGATCTCCCTTGATTTGTAGCTGGATTTTTGTGTTTTGTAACAAATAAATTTTAAATAAAAACACACAACAAGTAGGATAAAAGTCATATCCAATCATAAATCATAGGATATTCTTTTTGTCCCATGTTTAATACTTCTCAAACAATGTTTTACACAGTTTTACATCTGAGGGCACTTTATTTTATTTCATCACGCTTATGCAATAACCATTGTGACGTCTTTACTGCACTACTGTGGGATATCAAAAAATATCCAATGAGTCATATCCACGGGATCAAGGGGTAAACATAGGATTTATTACATTTGTAAATAATTTTTTGAAGTCAAAAATATGAAAAACTTGTAAATAAGAGGAAATATAATAACAGCAAACTGCTTTACAAAATTTGAATAAGTTTTTGTGTCCATGATATTTTAAAGCAATATTTAATGAAAAGCATATCATATCAGAACATCAGGATATCAGAATCAAGTCAGAATCTAGTATTTTTCAGAAAAATCATATCAATTTTTTAATTACATTTGAAAAAGAAATTGTCCAAATAGACAAAAATATAATTTTTAAAGAATTTATAACATTTATATCATATTTCTTTCATATCAAAACTTTTCAAACCAGAATTGAGATAATTAATGACCAAAAATAAATAAAGAAAACAAAAAGAAACCAATCAACCATTTACATATACAAGAGAAGAGACTGAAAAACCATATTTTCTTTCGATTATGTATTTCAAATTTTTGAGTTTGTTCTTAATGACGTTCTACAGATAAACCCTTTTAAACTTTTGAAAATACGACTTGCTTGAATTTTAGTTCATTAAAAACTCTTTATTTTTTAGTAATACTTTCTTACATACTTAAATCGTAAAAGTTTAGATTTGGTAAGATTAGGGCATGACAAACAGCGCATTATTTGTATTTTATGATAGTAATTCTTTATTGTATATTTCAATATTTGTATTGTATGACTTTCATTTGTTTTATGTACTGCTTTATATGTATAGTATAATTTTCTATTTGCTTTTTATAGTTTTATTCCAAATTCGATATTCCTAATTGTATAAAACCATTTGTATTCAATTGTATACCAGTACTGTGTGTGCTTGTCTCTAACTCTAGAATAAAAATTTATTAGCAAATAGGAGTAGAATTTATTCAGTATCACTAATTACAGAATGCAAACAAATATCTAAATGATACACCTCCAGGTAAATATTTTGGAGCGCGTATCAATATTTTTGTGGCCAACTATTAGTTCCATTATCAAATTGCATTTGGACAGAGTTAAATTACAACATATGTGTTTCTCAGTCTGTCTCTATAAGGTTAGGATATCAAATCATCAGAAGAGACCTGATCGTCTTGTAATGAAAGCATTGACTGGTTCTTACTCCGTCAAGATAAAATTTATAGGGAAAAACTTATAATCCAGTGAACACCAAAATGTAAACAATCTTACCTGATACGCCTTGCGCGGTACTGTCACGATATAGTCCATTAACAGTGTACACCATATCTTTGAAATCGGTGCTATATTTTAAACAATACTGAGTTTAAATTAAGAATCATTCCTTTTCCTGCAGACTTGATCAAATTCACATTTTTGTTTACAAAACATGAAATCATTTTGCATTTAAAAACAAAAACATGCGCACTGACACCCGTTTATGTAAGCCATTTATTTAAATGTACATTGTACGTAACTACATCCTGTTTAAGATGGCATCAAGGTTATTGCGAAATTCTGCATTCTTGATCAAGCAGAACGATCACTACTTTAAGTTAAAAATAAAACATCACTTCGAAAGTCATCAAAGAATTGTAAACGATCTCTTTTTAATTCTCTGATTCCATTTTTTTTTTCTTCACATATAATTATAAAGTGTTGTAAATTTTTACCAATACATGTAGATGTCTGTATATTGTGATGATAATTTTTGCAAAAACTTAAAACCATGCTTTACCTTTAAAAACAATAAAAACAAAAAAGGTATATTATATATGTATAAATAAATATATAACAATCAACATAAGCTAATGCAATTTATTTGAATGTTATTTGAAACCTCTCGTAAAAAATATTTTCCCTTAGCGCACTAAGTCAAAATGCTTCCTACACTCATGCTATTTATAAGACATCACAAATGCTTTCACTTATGCGTTATAAGACATACTTTTATTTCACAAACATTATGGTAATTGATTTCTTTAGAAGTCTCACCACTTATTACGGATTTACCGAAGACACTGACGTACTGCACGGTAAATGGATCATTAATTTATGATTTATCCAAAACATACGTAATTCTATGTATACTAATTATCGCGTTGCATAACATTGTATATTTGGGGTGTCACATTAAAAAGTAGATAATGTGCGTTTCTCACTATTCCAGGTTCGAAGTGAAGCATACTGCGTAGTTGTAAATGAAAAGTTAAATGTTTAGGATTTAAATGGCAACTGCTCCTCATTTATTATCTAAAATTAAATATGCGTAGATATGAACAGTATTCAATACCAAAGTCGATAAAACAAAACAAGATAGAAGCAGAGAAAACATGGACCTCCAAAACATCAGAGGTGGGATCGGGTACCATGGAGGTGTGAGCATCCCCTGCTAACCAGACACACCCGCCGCTTGCTCCTTTTTAAAAAAAAATCCGTCGACAATTCATTGTATAAATAATGGACTAAATATCAGTTTAAAATATGCTGTCAACTGCCAATTTAGAGATGAAGTTGACAATTAATAAACATTTTACTGAAGACTGAAAATTTGACTTAATTCTGAGTCTTTTCATGATCCTAGAGCAAGGCCCCAGGATCATGAAACAAACTTAGACTTAAGTCAAATTTTCAATCATCTGTAAAATGTTTATTGATTATTGAATTAACCTCACTTTTGTGAATCAATATTGTAACATGTTTTATTTTGATCTGCCTGACTTCCACAACATTTAAGTACAAAATGGAGATTTTGACATAAGCTTAAGATGTTTCATGATCTTGGGGCCTGGTCTCCAAAAACCACATAAAAATTGTCGATCGATCAGAAACTCAAGCAATTTTTGATTTCAAAATTAGAGTACTTGTCTGTACAATCAGAATATTTAATTTTTAACAAAATATTCTTTTTTTTCAAATGACAGGGTAAGTGCATTTATGACTTCCATTTTTATATAAATTCAATTAAATTCATTTATTGACAACACCATCATATATTGGCATTTAGTCATGAATACAACAATTAACATACATAAAATTAAATATCATAGAAAGCATATCAGGTCTGTTAAAGGTTTTCTTTCCTAATATCAAAGCACTTTTTCTAAACAAAAAAAAACACAACTGTCAATGATATAAAAAAAAGCCTGGATTTTATCGTTTGGAATGATTGTGTATAAATTTGAAAAGTCATAAATTCTTTAGCAGTTAATTTTGGTAAAATCTTGTGATTACAAATTGTCCAAATGGCTAAAGGTTTCTTGGAATTTTTTACTATACAAATCTGATTTACTCCACTTCTTGAATTTATTTTGATTCTTTGGAATATTAAAAAATATTCAAACGTGACATATGGTTTTGAAGAATTTCTTCTTTAGAAAGAGAACTGAGTATAAGTTGGATTACCACTTGTAGAATTAAATCCAAATTTTTCTAAATAAAACTTATATAATAAGCCTTACAAACGAAGACAAAGTTGTTACCTGCTTTGTCGGCAGGGATCAGTACATATTGATCATGTAATCTATCATATTCTTTATTTACTTCTGGATTATTGAATGCAGAATGATAGATCGTTTTCATATTGCCCTTCAATCTTTTAATACGCAGTTGTAACATAGATCTGATATCGACGACCTATTGTCAATTAACTATAGTTATTTCCATTCATATGTCGATATGATATATCCTGATGAGCTTGAGATGAAAGATACCATACTTCTATTTCAGATTCAGAGTAGAAATGTTAGAAAGCAAAACCCCTTCACAAGTATCATCATTCCGCACTAAGGTTGTATACAAGTTTAT